TCCAGCCATTAAAGATAAGAGTAATTATCTTGTAAAACTGTGAAAAACGCTTATATTTCTTTACAACAAAAAAAATGGTATCATTAACAACCAGATTCAAGTTATGGCTAGCGCAGTGAACGTATGATGTGTATGGTTTGAATGCGATTAATTTTAGTTTGGACTCCATTATAAACGCCACTCATTACATTTTCTCCATAATGACATTTCTCACGAGATTTTTGTTTTATACTAATCGACATTTATTTGAATATATCCAATATCTGACCTGTTATATCCTCTGCAATATGATTTGAAACTTCGTGAAATCTTAAAAAAAAAAGATTCTTTAATATCGAGTTTAACTGGTTCGAAGTTCTCATTCCTTTGGATGTGAACATATCTGAATACTACACTCATTCGATCTTTTTTTGTATCCAAAATATAGGAATAAAAGAGAGGCGTATTAATTTCAGATGTAAATGTTGTATCCCAATACTCTCCTAGATTACGAATTATTCCCATAAGAATTTTGGTACTACCATATTTTATGGAACATGTTTTCATACTAAAAACTTGGTTTATATCATCGTATTTTGCCAGCAGTTCTAGTTATGACACACACAAAAAATAACCCCATTATACTTTTCTCCTAATTAGTTTCGATGACCGCAAAACGTTAACGAATTTTTTGAAAGCATAAATGTTACGTTAAACAATCGTTCTAGAACCAGAATCACAATATCTAATATAATCAGCAGTATTCTTTAAGTAAGCTCATAGTGAAATAACGAGAACGAGAAAAAAAAATCTATGAACATAAAGTACAGTTAGGGAAAAGTTACATTTCCTTTCCTCATGAAGGGTTAGAAACTAGATATAGATCATTGTCTTATAAAGAGTTCATGTAATTAATGTTCAAATATAGGCCATTGTCTTATAAAAGGTTCATGTAATTAATATTCAAACATAGACCATTGTCTTATAAAAAGTTCATGTAATTAATGTTTAAACATAGACCATTGTCTTATAAAGAGTTCATGTAATTAATGTTCAAATATAGGCCATTGTCTTATAAAAAGTTCATGTAATTAATGTTTAAACATAGACCATTGTCTTATAAAGAGTTCATTTAATTAATGTTCAAATATAAACCATTGTTTTATAAAGCGTTCGTGTAATTAATGTTCAAATATAAGCCATTGTCTTATAAAAAGTTCATATAATTAATGTTTAAACATAGACCATTGTCTTATAAAGCATTCATGTAATTAATGTTTAAATATAGACTATTGTTTTATAAAGCGTTCGTGTAATTAATGTTCACAAATTGCCTCATGTTGAATTTTAGCCCCTGTCTCTTTATCAGTAGTTGTTGTTTTTTTTCAATGATCGTAAACAGAACCTGCATTAATAGGTATAGTAGTGCAACTGTGTATTATATTTTGAAAGGTCTTTCCAATCTCGGATTCCAGAACACCGCAAAATCCTTTTCACAATTCAAGGATAACCAACAAGGTTCACAATAAGCGACATCCAAAATTACAGAGTAAGTAACATAAAGAAACCATTAAAGTTGACCATGTCTGCCGGTATATGAATTGCTATATTTTCATCTCCATCTTCACTATCTCTTTCTTCACCTTTTCTTTTTCTTTCCCCTAAGTGTAACATGTTCTGGTGCTTCAGAATTGAAAATATCTTTCGGCTCTTCTGTTGTTTTGTGACTTTGAGTTTTTTATAGTTGTTAAAACTTTCTTGTAGTGTATCGCTTGAGTGGCCTAAAAATATTGCAATGATTTCATGTTGTTTTTTCTTCTTTTCAGTGGTCTAATAGCACTCTTTTTCTTTGTTTCCATCGTACTACAATAAATAATAATATTAATAGTATTTATAGTTGTTAACTATATAAAGTAAACAAAATGATAAATCTAAAAAGGAAAATAAATTAAAAAAGCACTTGTGTTATACATATATATATATATATATATGCAAACAAGATAGCAGGGATAACATTTGCATCATCCCTACATAATAACACAAGCACACAGTGTAGTAGAATGTTAACAGACAAAATAGAGTAAATAACTACAATTATGATCGAATAGTTATATATATATTGCTATACGTTAACACTTGCCTGTGCTATTATAGTAGGGATGATACAATA